TAACTTACTTAAGTTACGTTACGTAGTTAACGGTACGTACGGTAACGTAACGTAACGTAACTAACGTAACTTACGTAGTTAACGTTACGTACGTACGTAGAGAGAGAGAGAGAGAGAGAGAGAGAGAGAGAGAATTCATATCTAATACAAAATGTATTCCTCCAGAAACTCATTAAGCTAAATGAAATTCTAAAAGAAAAATGAAAATTTAGGACTGGTACCTTGGCGTTCTTAGAGGAGTTGTTCCTTGAACGAGAAAACGCAGATCGAAGGGTAGATGCAGAGGAAATGGGAAGAATTGGATTACAAGTATGAATACAATGGTGCAAACTCACTGCTTTGTTGTATTTAGCAGGTGATGAGGAAGTGAGGAAAAGGCGATTACAGGAAGAGAGAGAAAGACGAGAAGCACAAGAAAGCAAAGCAGGAGGAGCCATCCCAAATTCTAAAGTATTCGACACAGAAGAAGCCATTGATTGATGATGCACATTACAAATTTAGGAGAGAAAGCACCACTGCTCTCTCGCCCCTCACCCATACATAACCCTAGAGAGAGAGAAATGAAAATGGTGGGAGGCAAGGACAAACGATAACGGAGAACTGAAAACGAGGGGAGAGAGAGAGAGAGAGAGAGGGGCGAGTGACGGTGGTAGACAGAACTGAAAAATGATGAGCGACAGAGAGAGGACAGACCACGGGAGCATGGTACACATTTACTTACGCGGTCCGATTATTTACACAGGAAGATTTTTTTTTTTTTAATAAGAAATTTTAAGATCCACCTAAGAATTATTAAATATTTATTTTTAAAAAAATTAAATTTTGAGCTTTTTAATACTTAGATATCACTCTCTAAAATTTAATAGTCTCGTTTAATCTTGAGATAATTTTTTTTCAAGTATTTATTGAGTGCAATTGGGATTTTTTAATTGATATTAGTATATAACTCGAATAGAATTTCATCTCTAAAATGTAGGCCTTAAAGTTCATCCTAGATTGGTTTTTTACTTGAGGAAATAAATGAACAGTACTCACAAGGGAGCACAAAATATTTTGGCATTATTATTTGGGACTGTAAATCGCTTAAGTTTAAATTTTTTTTTTTCTTTTTTTTTTTTTTGGAGAATCAGCAACATTTCATTCCATTTTTCATCCTGGTAAACACAAGGACAAGTCAAAACATTACAAATAATAATAATAATAATAAAATAAAACCTATAACCTCAAAGAACAATTAACTCGCCCACAGATACACCAGCTTTGGCTAAACAATCAGCCTCCATATTGCATTCTCTAAAAACATGCTCAAAATTAACAGGCATATATACACAACAATCCCCAGTTTCTCTTATCAATTCATGAAAAATCCATGGATACGATCATTCCTTCGTAATCCATTTAATTTTGTTCATTGGATCACCTTCAACCATTGTTGGTATTGACAATCTCACAATTTCAACCCCTGTAGCAAAGCTCTGAGTTCTGCTTCATTTGATGTGATCACACCTACTAGAACATAAAACTTTAGCAGTACTCGTGATCACGAAGCAAACCACCAATCCCTGTTGGCCCAAGCTTACCCATTAAGTTCCCATCAAAATTTAGCTTGACCCACCCAACTTCAGGCACTCTACAAATCCCTATCCATTTCTCTTTCAAATACCTTTCTTCAATTAGAATGTGTAGATTGTACATTAAATCCTCACAAGAAATCCCACGCCATTCATCTTTTGTAGCCAAACAATCGGCAACAGTATACCGCACTTTCTCTTGTACATCAATTGCTTTTTTAGATCTATCATCAAAATATTTTTTATTTCATTCCTTCCATATTTCTCAAACCACTACTGCCTCGACTACTTTCCAAATTTTTCTATCTTTCTTCCCAAATATGTTTGCTAACCAGTCATTAAACAGATAGCCATGTTCCATTCTTGTATTACATCAATCCCTAGCCAATTGAAACACCATGACCAAATTGTAGAAACGAAAAGCAATCTACGAAAACAAGAAAGAAGAAACAAACACAAAAGAAAAAAAGAAACAACCAACCACAACGCAAAGATATACGTGGTTCGGCAACGTGCCTACGTCCACGAGAGATTAGAGTTTTTTTACTGGTAATGAAAATAGGGTTACAATACACTCTCTTCCTCACGCCTCTCTGTTTTTATCTAATTACAAAGATATCTGTATTTTCCCCTTAATCCTTAGCCCTAGATGAACTCCCAATCGCAACAATATATATCGAGTCTCAGATAGATTGTACAAATTACCAAAATACCCTCGTACAGATATATATCAAATCCTAGATATATCGAATCCCATGTGCAGCCCTTCGGGCTTTTAACGACCCTCTGGAGTCATTTTTTTTACTCGGCCTTGGCAGATATATTTCCTCAGAATACAATACATCAATCCTCAACACAAAATACCATTAGAAAAATCATATTTAAACAACAGATGACCAATTGATTCTTCATCTTTTTTACATAATAACCAGACATTTACTATAATCTTTCCTCGCTTCCTTAACATATCAACAATTAATCGCCTTCGAAGTTTTAACAGCCATAGGAAAGCTCTAACCTTCAATGGTATTGGCCACTTCCAAAGTTTTGAGGCTTCTTGATCAGTCCATCTTTGCCTATCATAAAACAGAAGTTTTTATGCAGAGCTTACTGCAAATACCCCACTTTTACTAGGTTCCCATACAATCTTATCTTCTTCCTCAGGCCAATCGAAGTACTACTGCAACAAAATTAAACATTGACTATACTCATCACTCACCCTATTATTCACCTTTGATATGGATATATAATATCCGAAACTGTATTGAAACCTTTCCCTATCGCCATCTTAACAATCCTTATATTTTTTGAAGTTGTTTTTGCAAAAAGTAAAAGGAATTGAACTTTTACGTTACACTCTCAATCCACTTTTGCTGCCAACGGAACATTTATCCCATTCCCAACCACCATCCTTGAATAGCTTAGAAAAAAAGACCCATAAGCCACAATCCCTTTCTATAAGGTAGAAATTCCTTTTCTATTTAGACCTTTTCCTACTAACCCATATTCTTTATCAATCTCATACTTCTCACCAAGCAACTTCATCCATAATTGATCCTTTTTATTGGCATACCACTACCACCATTTAGTCAACAAAGCACCATTCATAGGTCTCAATCTACTTACACCCATACCACCATCAGAAAATGGTGTACAAACTCTATCCCAAGCAACTAAATTGAATATATTCTTATCATGAATTCCCCCCCAATGAAACTTCCTCATTATACCTTCCAATCTTTTGGCCACCACACTAGGAATTTTGAAGATTAACATATAGTATATAAGCATATTTGCTAAAGCATATTTGATAAGAGTCAATCTTCCCCCCAAAGATAAAAGTTTATGCTTCCATGAGTCTAACTTATACTGAATCCTTTGTATTACAGGATCCCACGAAGGAAGGCCCATATGCTTTACAGGAAACTTCCCAACCCCATAACCCAACTGAGCAGCAATCTCTTTAATTTTTTCATTCTCACATGCTACCCTTATAATGGATGTTTTATGTATACTAACTTTCTATCCTGTTACAACTTCAAAGCACCTTAAAAACCACTTTAAAGTTCTGTAATTTTTTTATTTTGTAAGACCTCTTTTTTGATTTGTAAAGATGGTGACAGTGAACTGCTCAACATGAAATTAGATAAGTTAGAGGCATAATTTTTTTGAAATGAGTGTTAAACATGCAAAAAGCAAAGGAAAAAGCCACATCTATTGACTATTGACCATTATCAACATGTATATGTAATACAACCAGATATAACTTGCACAACAAGATAAATTACAGTAAGTAACTTTCTATACATGATATATATAAAATAAATTCAAGATGTTCAACTATTTCTACACTTCCCTTCAAACTGAGGTTGGTTGAACAACATCAGTTTGTCAATGAGATAGTCGTGACGAGCACGAGTCATTGTCTTGGTAAAATATCTGCAAATTGTTGCTAAGAGGTAATATGTAAAAGTGTAACTTCTCCAGCCTAAAATTTTTCACCAATGAAATGACAATCAACTTCTCAATGCTTTGTGCGGTCATGGAAAACTGAATTTGATGCAATATGTATGACGCTCATATTATCAGCATACAATGGTGTAGGAGTTTGACGAAGAATATTGAGGTCATGTAAAAGACCTTTCAACCAAGTAATTTCACGTCAAGCTGAGGACAGTGCTCGGTTTCAGCTTCGACAGAAGATTTCGACATAGTTTGTTGTTTCTTACATTTCCATGATATGAGAAAATCTCCAAGAAATATACACCACCCAGTGATTGAGTGTCGAGTATTTGGGCAACCTGCCCAATCCGCATCAGCATAGGCTCGTAACTGGAGAGAAAAGTTAGTGGAGAAGAATTGGCATATATGTCATGTACTCCGTAGATAACGAATGATATTATGGACAACTAAGAGGTGGATGCGACGAGATCTGTAACAAATTGGCTGACGATCTGCACTACATGAGATATATCAGGACGAGTCATAGTGAGATAAAGTAGATTGTCAACTAGTTATCTATAAAAAGTGGGATATGGAAGTTTGTCTCCATCATCCTTTCTATATTTACATTCATCTTCATTTGTGTATCCACTCATTTATCATCAGATAAGTTGGCAAGTTTGATCAAGTCTTTGGTGTACTTCTTTTGGTTAACTATATATCCATTAGGGGAATAATGAATCTCTAGGCCAAGAAAGTAAGTCAACGGATCAAAATCTTTCATTTTGAATGAGTGACTAAGAAGCTCTTTCAAGTGTCTTATATTATCAAGGTTGTTTCATGTGATGAGAATATCATCAATATATATGAGAAGGATTGTTATCTCTAAAGAACAATGGTGAGTAAATAGTGAATAGTCATGAGCAGTTTGTTTCAACCTAGCATTCAGAACGACCTGTCGAAATCGTTCAAACCAAGCTCTTTGAGCTTGTTTTAAACCTTACAAGGATTTTTTTCAAGTGACATACCATAGACTTGTCATGGCAAACCAGGGAGGCGGTCGCATGTATACTGTCTCTTTTAAATGTCCATGAATAAATGTATTTTTCACATCCATCTGATATATAGTCCACTGACGAATAGGTGAGAGGTCAATATAAGTAAACAAAACTCTACGTTGTAGCGAAAAGTCAAAATCATCAAAGGAAAAGTCATATCGATCAAGTGGGTGGGTTATACGTGAAGAACGGCGTAACTAAGTAAAGTTATCAACAGAAACAGGATTAGGAGAAAAGTGGAGGGAAGAGAATCACTTACAGGTAGGGTCTGACTGATGAGATGGAGTAGGCATGGATTTGTTTTGTTGGTCTTGTTGTTGATGCACCAAAGGTTGTGATGATTTATCAGTGGCGTTAGCATTTGAGAAATCTGGAAAGAAAGGAACAGAGGACCATATTGATTTAGCAATTGAAGAGTAATAAAGGAGATTTTTTAGAAATACAACATTGCGAGAAACACGTACATGACGAGCTGTTGGATCATAACATAAAAATCCCTTTGGTTGAGATAGTAACCTATGAAAACACAAGTGACTGCTTGAACAGAAAATTTTATTCGTTCATGTTAAGGAAGATGAACAAAAAAAACACATCGAAAAACATGCAAGAGAGAATAATCAGGATGAACATGAAATAATAAATAACA